ACACAAACACACACACACACACACACACACATATATATATATATATATATATATATATATATATATAGATCCATAGGTCATGAATAAGAACAGTAACAACAACAAGAAGTCTGCTTAATAAGTCACTAACAAAGGTCCAAGAGCTTCTCACCTTCTAATAATCCTATAGCAAAATGTAGTCATCATTTATGTGTAAATAACTTATTAATACAGGGTGCTTACAATAATCTGAGGCTTTTAATAATACATTAAGTTGTTTATAAGTTTTGGTTGAGATGCTCGGCAGCCTTTTTCCAAAAAATTGGAGGCTCAAGAACCAGATAAACTTTAAAATACCTGACAATCAAAAAGTCACTCATATTAATGGCTTAATACTATCATATAAAGCTTTACTTACCATTAATAAAGCTATTATAAACCCTTTATAAAGAGTAACTTATTAGAAAGTGGTGTTAGAGTACTATATACTCGTGGTGAACTATGACTTTTCTGCTAAACCATCACACACAAACACTTACCTGTTTGCTTCAGAGTGGATTCACAGAAGAGGAAAAATTCATATGATGACACTGTCCATGGTAAATAACTTGCCTTTCTTTAAACTTATCAGACATCGTAGCTCTGACTGACTGAAAGGTGTTTCTCGAACTCTCTGTGGTGATGTTCAAAGCCGACCACATCATCTGCCACCAGGCCCCGCCCTCCACAGGTGTTTAGAGTGATGTAACAAAAGATTCTCATTCAATGCATATTTCTCAAAATTGAACAGTCGTCAGACAACACTTCTCCTTTTACAGTTCATATGAATGTTTTTCTCTTACTTACATAAATGTAGTATGTGTTAATGTTAACTTAGGTTACCTGAACCTCAGGGATGCAGTGCTTTTCACAGATAGTCAGAACGATTCAGACATGCAAAAATGGTCTCCAACCATTCAAATATCTGTGGCTTTGGCTGGAAAAATTTGGTTGTTGTATAAGAGGTGAAGGGTGAATGTGTTTCCACTTATTTAATCAGGTAAAATAAAGCAAGTGACAATAGCTTATTGTCTGCAAAATATGACAACTATTAAATCTCCAAGGGATTATTAGTTAATTTCACATAGCCCTTTGAACTCAGCTGCACCCAGTGAATGAGGCAGAGCTCGACAAACCAGTTAGAAGCCCACAAGAGGATAAAAGGCAAGGGCCTACTCTCTCATTCATAGACACAAACCATCTTCAACACGGTAGCCTAGTATATGGTTCACTGCTTGGTCCTTCATAACCTGATATAATGTTTTGTAAAGGTTTATAATTCACTCAGTTACTCAGTAAATGGTTCACTTCTGACACTTCTGACTGTGCTGTTAAACTTACAGGAAGTCTGTGCTATCTGTTTTCTTCTGCGTATTGCGAAGGAAAGTGTCACAGCAGAGCACATGGGCAGGGTGTGCAGGAAATAAGTCATGACAGACAACCTACAACGACATCTAAAATAGGAAGAGATCACTGAGCCTGTGCAAGGTTAGTCTCTTGCTTCCTCCTTTGTACCTATTCACACATTACCGGAACGCTGCAAAGCTGAAATAATTCATCACTTCTTTTGGTGCGTATTCTTGTTCTTCTTCTTCTTTAATGTTAAGTGCAGTAATACATTGTGTTTTCTATACAATTTTATCACAGAAATGAGTAAAGAAGATGCTTCAAAGCCATCGAGGAAGTGACTTTTTCTAACTTGGCTTGCATCATTATGAAATTTGCCATCAAGTATTTTTCATGTAACCTAAAGATTTCTATTACATCTTTTGTTCTGACATATTTCAAAAAACACTAATGCATTTTTTCAAATTCACTAAGATTATTTGTGTCATTTGACTTATTCAGACAGTATTGAAGATGCAAGATATTCTGCTGCGAGTTTGTGTGCTGGCTCTGGGTCTCCTAACGATGGATGACCCAGGGTTTGAAGAGTGGGATGATACTGTCACAGTGGGCATGCAGAAGCATGAAGAGAGGCTGCTAAGAGGAGGAGAGGAACTGGACCACCAAATGACGCCTGTCCGTGAGGAAATAGCAAATACTGACGATGGTGGGCCTCGGGATGGAGTAAAAAACATTCAGTCTGATCAACATGCGACTGGAAAAGATAAAATGTCAACCTTAGGAGATGTGGCTGTCACCAAACAAGATTCAGAGGAGGATGATCACAAGTCATCAGGAGGGGGACATTTTACGGCAAATTTAGATCCAAGCCAGCCACAAAACTCTGATAGTGAACCTGAGACTGTTCTGAAGACTTCCCAAACTGACCATGAGCAAAATGGAAACATGAAGAGTAAACAGGGAGACAACATCCAGACTGATGGCTCCTTTAGAGACCCAAGCAGACCACATGAGCAACAAGGAAAACCTGAGGAGAAGATGCTCAGCTCCAGCGAGAAAACTAGAGGCCGTGCTAGTCTTCTCTTTCTCTCAGAAAATGGAACTTTATTGAAGGCCATCACTGACTGGGATTTCCTCTGGTACATATGGAACACACTCTCCATCATTTTCACAATACACTTCTTGAGGAAATACCTCAGGAGGAATTCCCAAATGAAACAAGGAGAAACCAGGGCCTTCACTGTGAAATGCTCCGCAGCTGAAGTACTGCTACCAAACAGCGACACTCTGCAGCGATTTCATTCTAAATGGATTCAAATCTCATCCAGTAACAAGTGGAAAGATTTTTTGGAAGGGTTTGCAAATGATCTACTGGAGGCCATGAGGACTGTCTGTGATAGAAATGAAGGTATGGTGATTGAGGACTTTCAGATGGTGGATGCATGTGATATCATCGTCCCCTTTGCCCCACCTGATCCATATAGTTTCCAGCGTCTGCTGTGCAACTTTCAGGCAAATGACCTGCTGCCAGATATGCAAGTCTGTGGTCAAATCAAACTGGTGAAAAATAAGAAAATCCAAAATGGCTGCCCCTGTCAGTCGCCTAATTCAGATGATATGGTGTGCTTGCTGCACTGTGAGAGTGAGAAAGTAAAGACAAAAATCACCGATGCTTGTGATGACCTTCTTTGCATGAAGAAGTCCTCATTCCTGTCCAAATCACAGGTCACCAGATGGTTTCAGAGCACTATCAAACAAGCATGGGATCAGATTTCACACAAGTATGAGTTTGAGCTGAACATTCGCTACATGGGTGCTCCAGGTGCTCTGGTAGTTCGGTTCAGATCAGGGAAGAGGATAAGCTTCAATATGAATCCTGTGGTTAAAGTCAACACAGATGCTCATTTCTTCATTACTCCTGGCTCCCCAAACAACTTGGATACTTTCTGGGCGCTCTCCCTGACCAAGTATGAAGATCAGTTTTTAGAGCACATCTCTAAACGCCTGCCTAAAGACTCATGCCACAGTCAAACTCTTGACATTGCATTTTTCCTCCACAAGAGACAGGCAGCATTGTCAGGAGGGAGTGAGCTCAAGGAGTTTCATTTCAAAATTGCACTAATGCATCTGCTTCTGGCCAAAGACCCATCACAATGGAAACCCAGCTATTTGGCTTGTAGGCTACGAGACTTACTGGTCTTCATAGAGAGAAGCCTGGAAAAGAAGCTGCTGCACCACATTCTCATTGGGAACCCTTTAACCAGGAGGGTTATTGAACTTCCTGCTGAGTTTACTCAAGCAAAGGCTGTGAATCTCTTCCATCCCCTTGTGGTACATAACTGCATCTACAGAAGTGCTGTGATGCATTTCCAGGAAATACTAAGAAATGCACACATGCTTATACAGGATTATGTTTAGTGCAGGCAAGGAGGTCAATTGTTCAACTGAAAGGTCAGTTGACTTGTGCAATTTAAATTATGGTTATAAGCTCTATTCATGAACTTATTACATACAAGGGTGTGTTTCTCATGGTAGGAGATGTGAAACAGGAGTTTAGGGGGCCTCTGACAGAAAAATTTGAGTATCAAATTCCTGCATTCTAGTCAGTTTTTGCAATTTGCTTTTCTGCATCCATGTATGGTTGAAATGTCTAGTCAGTATAATAGTCCCTGTTACTGTCATGTTTTTGTTGACAAATGCACATGTTCTAAACATGACATGTCCCCTGCAACCACCCCTGAAATCTACACCTATGACAAGAGACCACATTGCAATACGTCAGTACAAGGTGAAATTTTATTTTAAAACTTTAATCATTTTCACATCAATTTCTTTTAGTAATCGTGGTCCCAGTTCTGTAGGAAGTCTTCGTGTTCTGCCATGTCGAGATCGTCCGACCTGAATGTGTCGGGATCTGAGAATTTCAGCCAAGGCTGAGCCTCAAATCCGTCTCTGCTGCTCATGTCAACCTTCCAAGAGTGACTGGAGATCATATTCCTAGAAGCTGTTGAAAGATAATTTGAAAACCTTAAAATTAGTAATTTACAAATTAAGATTCTGGAAAACCATCATTGTCAAAGGGAAAAGCGCTTTGTATTTACAGCAATATTTGTACACAACAGCAAAATGCTTTGAATTAATGCCCAGGTTAAGATCATTTAAAGTTACTGTCTCATACTGCAAGATTTCCCTCATGTCTTGTCACACAAGGAAGTTGAAACTTACACTTAGCCTTTGCTGAGGAACAGGTTGAGTCACAACAGGTGCACACAGAGTCTGGACCGAACAGCGCCTTCCACCTAAACCATAAAGTCATCAGGTCTTGAAATTTGAGATGGCAGGCTTAATGAAACAGTTGTTGACAAAGCCTAATTTTTGCCTTTGAGCACACATGAAACCATCTTACAATAGCCTCAAAAGCAAGCTACATCCACTTGTGCATGGTTTACTTTAGCCAGCATCAACTCACTTTCTGGTAGCCGCATCATAGTTGCAAGCCTTTGAGGTCGGAGTTGGAGCAAGTTTGCCCATAGAGATATCACAGTGCATGTAGAGTTGCTGAAAGACATTGATTTCAGTGTTAACATTTAATTTCAAATTACAGAGCTGTGCCACTTGTTCTTGACAGTACCTGTGGTGCAGAGGAAAGCTTCTCCTTGAAAATTAAGGCGGTCACCCTGAATTTCTGCGCCATCTTTGAGGAAGTAGGGAGGAACTTCGACTGTGCACTCATCTTGCCTTCAACCATACATCTGCAATCAGAGAATACACATGTTTACTGCCAACCACCAAATGACACGCCCATCTTAATCTGAAATATTTCAGATCTCACCCATAGTCGTCAATTAATGCATGTTTAGGACTCGAGTTGGGGTCTGCGGAGGCTGTCATGAAGCACTTGTTGATGTACAGCCGCTGCTCTCCAGACATTGCACTGCTGCTGGGTTGCCTGGCCTCAAAGTACATTGGGTGGCCCAAAGTGTAGGTTTTGGAACCAGGGATATCATTTCCTGATGCTGTGGTAAAGTGAGAAACGTCAGTCACTGGACAATTTTAGATATTTAGAAATTAAGCAGGCTGCTACATTTGTTTGCTTTGAAGTGGGATTACAAAAGCAGTGTGAAACATGTTTGTAGAAATATTTGATCCCTGCCTGAGCTCTTAATCTAAATACATAGCAATTAATACCTGAGTGTGTGGTACATGCCATAGTATTGAATGCTTATTTTGCACACCTTTGAATGCTAAAGAGCAGATTA